GCCAATCAGATGATAACCGTGCGGTTTATGCTTCCAGGCTTTAATGGGTTGGGCTGTGCGTTGAACACCAATCAGCCGGTCAATCAGTCAGTCAATCTGTCAGTCGTTCAGCCAGTCAGTTAGACAAACATTCTTATATGTTAAGGTATATTATTTCTTAATGTCGTTTCATTTTTGATCATAAATACATATATTTTCAGCTTTAAGCTGTACTATTTTTTTTGGTATCAACATAGATAATCTATCTTACGATTTTTAAATTCCCACATTTTGGGTCTCATAAGTTGTGGAACTGCCCAGTCACTCCGCTATTAGAGCGGTATCTAAATAGGGAACCTCTTATAATCCAAATTTGCTACAATGACGTCTTTAATTGCGGTCGCTGGACAATTTATGAATAAATGACTTGATTAGTCATCATAACAAAGCAGACACCTGCTCCCCCTTTCTGTTCATCTCTCTATCTCACTCTAGTCTCCTCTCTATTATATTATATATTTATATATACATATATATATATACATATATCTCTATTTCACTCTATTCTCCTTGTATAAATGTATATATATATATATATATATATATATATATATAAGGAGAATAGAGTGAAATAGAGAGATGAACAGAAAAGGGGAGCAGGTGTCTGGTGTATATATATATATATATATAGAGAGATATACATATATATATATATATATATATATACATAAATATATATATATATACATACATATATATTTCTGCATCTCTTTCTATATATTCCTTGTTTTTTGATAAGCTTAGTTCAGCTGAGGAGCGGCACAGTGAGGCGCATGTGAGAGGACTTCAACAAGAAACTGAGCAACTTAAGACCCACGCAGGTTATTATCAATAAGGCCACTCCAAAGCGGACAAAGAACACCAATATGAAGTCCAGACTATAGTACTGCATGAAGGACATGTCCTCTTCCGAGATCCGCATATGTGGTGCGCCCTTGTGACGCAGCACATACTCTGTCCACCAGACTGCCGTGTCCAGGGGACTCATGGGCTGGTCCCGTAGCCGCATGGACATCTGCTGAGCATTTTGAGCATAAACAGGATTTTTGATTAGTTCCTTGATGGCATTCACCGTGGATTCAACAGTCATCGTGAGGATGTCATGAATTTGAGCGAGGCCTGCATGTTTCATGCGTTCTGCGTTGCCAAATTGATCGTAGTACATCGGGAAGCAGAGCATGGGAACACCATAATAAGCCCCCTCAATTATGCTCAGAACACCCCCATGGGTGATAAAAAGCTTGACCTTGGGATGGGCCAATAATTCGCGCTGTGGCAGCATGGGACTTATGTAAATATTCTTCGATTTGCTGGGTAGCGCCTGCTCAAATTTCCAGACGACGCGCTGTGGCAGCTGGGCAAAGGTTTCCTGCATAATTAGAAGCCAGTCCGGTGGCAGCCACTTTCCAGTGATTTCCATACCCATTGAGAAGATAATGACACCATGATCGGCCTCGTCCACAAAGCGCTGCAGATCGTCATCCAGCTGGTCGCTCGGATTTTCTAAGTGCATGCCCGCCACCTCGATGACATTAGGAACATTGGATCTGGCGCGTCCCAGGCTGAAATGCTGATTAATCAGCATCAGGGAGAAGTTACGCCGAATATTATATAGGCTGTCGGCTGATTTGTTAAAGAAGCGCTTGTAGAGCTGCATCTGAGTGGGCAGGTACACCAGTTGCTCCAGAAGCCACTCCTCTGTGATGTATATCCAATTCTTCAGTTTCTGCAACAATCCGAGGCCATTGGAGTACCCGTCCGGCGACATGGGCTCGTACACGCTCGGCGCCTTATTTCCCGCCAGATAGTCGATATTCCAAGCGGTCCCATAGACAGAAAGTCCCACCAGGGAGGCATTATAGTACGGGGCAAAGCCATAGAGTGCATCTGTAAGGGATGCTTGCACTATGACCATGTCGAAGTGAGCACTCTTATCCTGAATCAGTGACTGGACGCCGGCATCAGTCAGAATGTATCTTGAGGAGTTGTAGAAAAACTCTGCCGTCATCAAGGATTCCTGCCATTTGTTCTTCGGAAAGTCCTCAAAATCATAGTTTGACAGATCTACACTTTGTAAAAATTAGCAAATATTTAAGATTTAGCTTTAGAAAAATATTGCACCTTTGAATTTGAAGTCTTCATTTTATTATAATCTTAACAAGTGTCTGGATCTTCCGACTAGGGCCCTGAACCCTCTTATTCCAACACTTAATAAAGATAAATTAAAACAAAAAAATTTCCTTGGCAGGGCTCTAACCGATCTTAGCCTTTCTTTCTTAACCGATCTTAATAAAATTTTCTTCAGTATATCTTATTGTAGCATAAAATATTTGTGTATTCTCAAAAAGTAAATTGCATTTAAATTGTAGCTTACATTGCTGGGCAATATAAGTTGGGTTATAAGCTTGATTTTTAGCTCTGCGTTGGTAGCGGGGAAGTGACGATAAATATAAAATGAAAGATATTTGATATATATATAAAATATATAAAAATTCTAGAAGCAACATATCAATTTGGTGACTTTTGCTCTTATAATTTAACTAAATTGCTCAAAAATGGGGATTTTGATATCGATTTTTATCGATTACTTGAAACGGGGCAAGTTATTGAATATCGGAAACTAACTTGATCTGCGCGGGCACTAGGAGGACCGACAGCTAAATAACTAGATCTTATAGGTTCTGAGATCCTCGCGGACGGACACACAGATGGACATGGATAGATCGATTTCATCGAATTTTAAGTCTCTAGCTCTTATAGGTTCTGATATTCTTGCGTTCATACATACGGACATGCGGACGGACAGACGGACGGACGTGGCTAGATCGACTCTGTTATTGATGCTGATCAAGAAAATATATACTTTATGGGGTCGGAGATGGTTCCTTCATACATTTGCATTTGCAAAAAAATATTATAACCTTTTTACCCATTTTCAATGGGTTCAGGATATAAAAACCTTTTATATATAAGATATGTTTATTTTGTTGGATTGTTTTTGTTTGGGATCATTTTTTGTCTTACTGCAAGAAACTGTGCGTTATACTCTTAAAGGAGATGAGTTAATAAATTAAAGGAGGAATGAATAAAAAACCCATTAGCCTGTTCATTTATCTTATCTTTTTGATACAAAGCAATAATGATTAAACGACGATCGCCAAATGCCATAAGGTTAAAGCTGATAATAGGAACATGGCTTACAATATGTCTATCAATAAAATGTTAAAGTTTTAGCATATACTGAAATGGCAACCTCGTTCGTCGTTGTGTATATATATAAAATATATAAGTATATAATATATATTTTTAAAGATATTGGGTTGAAATATGTCACTATATTTATTAAAAAGTACTTGCTTTTAATTATCGCAACCCTTTGATCTTTTGCTTACCCTCCATTAGCTGATCCAGCATTTCCACTCGAATATGACGAGCCCCATCGATGTTCGCCAAGTGATTTCTAGCTGAAATGATGGTTACCTGGTGGCCTTTCTGGACAAGCGCTTTCATGTATGGCGCCACGAGCAGGAAGGGTGAGGGAAAACTGTACGAGAATACGGCTAAAATGTTGGCGGCATGTGTTAGCTGCAAGCACAAACTAAATATTAGCAAAGCACCGCTCGTGTGCCCTACCATGTTGCGGCTCCACGTCCGTACATTTCAATGTTCTCTCAAAAACTGGGCATTATTGAAAATATCGGTTTTGGTTGTGCGTTTGATTGCGGAGCGTACGCTAATCTTATCACTAGGTGGGCAGTTGAGCGCCACTTCAATTTCAGTCAAATTTCAAACAGGGCAAGCCATGAGTACGCCAAGAGCATATCCACGCCCTTGTAGTGTGCATATGGAAAAGTTGATTTCACAATCGTAACAAGTCAGGAGCCAGTTCAGGGATCTAACAATAACTTATGTAAAGTTATAAAAAATCCCAACGAAAACCGCTTTGTCAGCTATGTAAGAATTTTATCAGATGCGCACCTTTCGATACATATATTCATTGAAATAATTAACGGCGATGAGTGTCGCAGAATAAATATACCAAATTTATAAACTGTTTGCCCTGATTACGAAACTGCAATTTTCACTGTAGTCAGCCTTAAACTTATTATTGAATACCTTTATTCAAATTCATTTCAATATCATATACATCCATCCATATTCCCCATCCCTTCCTAAAGCAAATGTTGTACAACGGTGGGTGACGTTTCGGGATGAATCTCATATCCAAGGAAAATTCTGATTTTTACACTTATTTCACATTTTTCTCAGTTATTTTGTGTGGAAAATGAGGGTCTAGATATTTTGGGCGAAGTCTTAAGTTTTGTCCAGTGGGCTTCAAATTTATTTTTTTACAAAAGTGTATTCGAGATCGTTTTACACTTTTCGCAAAATCTAACAATCGTATGTGAAAAATTCATAAGAAAATGTTGAACGCACGACAGATTTTACGAGAGGGATATCGCTAGAAAGTTCATGTCTAATATTAAAGGAAAATATATTTGACATATTAAAATAACTAACAACATATTTAACAATTTCACACTCAACAATAATAACAGTGCAATTGCCTCGCTTATCTTTATCTAAATTAGGAAACAGTCTTTGTAAAATGTGTTCAAAATTATACTTTTATTTTATAGTCAAGCGTCGCCAATGAAAGATATCAATTGATTACAAATCAAAACAAAGCGAACACATTTCCCCTTCTCTTCATCTCTCTCTCTCTCTCTCTCTCTCTCTCATCTCTCTGTCTCTCTCTCTCTCCCTCTCTCTTTCTTTCTCTTTATACATATACATTTATATATATACTTATATATATATATATAGAGAGAGAGAGAGATGATATTAAATTATATACATATGTATTTATGTAAACATATAAAAATATTATAATATATTTATAAAAAACATATGTAAATAAATATATATAATATTCAATATTTATATAGGCATATATAAATTTTTTTTTATTTTTTTTTTTGGTAGTAGACTTTAGTTAAGGAGCGGCGCAGAGGAGAGTATGTGAGAGGGCTTCAACAAGAAACTGAGCAACTTAAGACCCACGCAGGTTATTATCAATATGGCCACTCCGAAGCGGACAAAGAACACCAATATGAAGTCCAGACTATAGTACTGCACGAAGGACATGTCCTCTTCCGAGATCCGCATATGTGGTGCGCCCTTGTGACGCAACACATACTCTGTCCACCAGACTGCCGTGTCCAGGGGACTCATGGGCTGGTCCCGTAGCCGCTTGGACATCTGCTGAGCATTTTGAGCATAAACAGGGTTTTTGATTAGCTCCTTGATGGCGTTCCTGGTGGATTCAACAGTTATCGTGAGAATGCCCTGAATTTGAGCTAGGCCGGCATGTTTCATGCGTTCTGCGTTACCAAAGTGATCGTAGTACATCGGGAAGCAGAGCATGGGAACACCATAATAAGCTCCCTCAATTATGCTCAGGGCACCCCCATGGGTGATAAAAAGCTTGACCTTGGGATGGGCCAATAATGCGCGCTGTGGCAGCATAGGGCTTATGTAAATATTCTCCGATTTGTTGGGCGGCGCCTGTTCATATTTCCAAACGACGCGCTGTGGTAGCTGGGCAAAGATTTCCTGCATAATTAGAAGCCAGTCCGGTGGCAGCCACTTTCCAGTGATTTCCATACCCATTGAGAAGATAATGACACCATGATCGGCCTCGTCCACAAAGCGCTGCAGATCGTCATCCAGCTGGTCGCTCGGATTTTCTAAGTGCATGCCCGCCACCTCGATGACATTGGGAACATTGGATCTGGCGCGTCCCAGGCTGAAATGCTGATTAATCAGCATCAGGGAGAAGTTACGCCTAATATTATATAGGCTTTCGGCTGATTTGTTAAAGAAGCGCTTGTAGAGCTGCATCTGAGTGGGCAGGTACACCAGTTGCTCCAGAAGCCACTCCTCTGTGATGTATATCCAATTCTTCAGTTTCTGCAACAATCCGAGGCCATTGGAGTACCCGTCCGGCGACATGGGCTCGTACACGCTCGGCGCCTTATTTCCCGCCAGATAGTCGATATTCCAAGCGGTCCCATAGACAGAAAGTCCCACCAGGGAGGTATTATAGAACGGGGCAAAGCCATAGAGTGCATCTGTAAGGGATGCTTGCACTATGACCATGTCGAAGTGAGCACTCTTATCCTGAATCAGTGACTGGACGCCGGCATCAGTCAGAATGTATCTTGAGGAGTTGTAGAAAAACTCTGCCATAATCATAGCCTCCTGCCATTTGCTCAAAGGAAATTCCTTTCCAAAATCATAGTTCAATAAATCTAGACTTTGTAATAAACAAATCGGTTTTGCTTTAGAAAACGTTGTGTCTTACTTTTATTATAAGCTATTATTATAATTACAAAAGTGAGCTATTTGACTTGGGTAAATGTTTTGTGTAATAAACTTTGCGTGTTACAATTGGATGGAATTCTAATTTTGGAGTTTTAGAATTGGGTAACCTATTAAAGAAGGAATGGAAAAAAATGCTTTTCATTGACCATTATTGATTCATTAAAAATGAATAAAAAGGGGATAATGTTATGTACATATGTATGTAACTGGCACTAAGAAGCATCTCCGACCCCATAAAGTATATATATTCATAATCCGTCTGTCTGTCCGTCCGTTCGTTCGTTCGTATGCATGAACGCAAGGATCTCAGAACCTATAAGAGCTAGATATTTGAAGTAGGTCCTACTACTGACTGCGCAGATCGAGCTTGTTACCGATAATCGATAACTTACTCCGTTTCCAAGCAATCGATAAGAATCGATATAGAAATCCTGTTTTTTTGCAAATTGGGTAAATAAGAGTCACCAAAAGTGATAGGTTTACTGTAAAGTAGTATTTGTATACGCATATATCAAGTATATTTCATTTTACACTACCTCATAGCCATAAATCAAGTTAATAACCCAACTTGTATTGCCCACTAATCTTTTTTACAATATTAATGCAATTTACTTTTTATGAAAACACAAATATTCTATGGTACAATAAGATATACTGTAGAAAATTTCATGAAGTTAAGAAACACGTGTTTGCGTCACCAGCGCAAATTCGAAGAATATCTGTATACATGTACGCACATACATTTATGCGCGTCTGCTTCGAATTCGTCAACAACATTGCAATTGCGACGTAGGTGCTTCTAGTGCCCGCGCAGATCGAGTTTTTTCCCGATAATCGGTAACTTACTTCGTTTCCAAGCAATCGATAAAAATCGATATCGATATCGGTTTTTTGGGCAACTTTGGTAACTAATAAAAGCTAGAGTCACCAAACTTGACATATAGCTTATAAAATTGAATATATGTATGCATTTGATGTTGGAAGAACAGGGTTCAGGGTATCCCCTAGTCGGGAGCTCCCGACTAGAACCTCTTACTTGTTTTAATTTATCTTTGTTACTACTAAAGAAAAAGAGCACGTAGCGCGAGCTGAATTTGGTATAAGAGGGTTGGAATAAGATGGTTCAGGTTATCCCCTAGTCGGGAGCTCCCGACAAGAACCTCTTACTTGTTTTCAAATTGTAGCATATTAAAAGTTAAATGACAACATCGTTCGGCGTTATATATTATTAAATATGTCGAGTTATGACAGGTTACCATCAAATATGCACGTACTATAAAATATTTGTATATAATTATCTAATGTAACGTATTTCGTTTTAATTATCGCAACTATTTTTTCTTTTGCTTACCCTCCATTAGCTGATCCAGCATTTCCACTCGAATATGACGAGCCCCATCGATGTTCGCCAAGTGATTTTTAGCTGAAATGATGGTTACCTGGTGGCCTTTCTGGACAAGCGCTTTCATGTATGGCGCCACGAGCAGGAAGGGTGAGGGAAAACTGTACGAGAATACGGCTAAAATGTTGGCGGCATGTGTTAGCTGCAAGCACAAGCCAAATACCAGCAAAGCACCGCTCGTGTGCTTTACCATGTTGCGGCTCCACATCCGTACATTTCAATGCTCTCTCTAGTACTGAGCATTATTGAAAATATCGAATGGTAGTGGGCCTGGTTGCGTAGAGTGCTGCTAATCTTATCTCTGGCATTTCCATAGGTAGTTGGCTCTTGGCTGTGTGTGGGCAAGGCGAGCGCCACTTAACTTTCAGTCAAATACCGCAAGTGCTTTTCGGTGGAACTATTCGCGGGAGTCTTTTATAATGCGAATACAGCAGCTACTGATTGGGTGTCTCGCCCTCAGCACACTGCTGCTGCAACTGTGCCCCACATGGGCTGCCAGGATATTGGCTGTGTTTCCCTACGATATGCATTCGCAGTGCATGCTATTGACGCCCTATCTGCATGCGCTGCTGCAGCGGGGTCATCAGGTGACCTTAATACACGCCTTCACGGATTGCGAAATTGTGAAGCAGCTGCACTCGATACACATCAAAGATCGTTATGACACAGTGTTCGGTGAGTTTAAAAGCTCAATAAGACCTTTGGGTTAAGGGCTGGGTAAATATGAATTAAATTTAACATTAAGCAAATATTTCGGCTTGTGTATTTATTTTGACGGCAGCGCGTTGCCAAATAATTGAAAATCTGGTATTATATTTATTTATTTATTTATTTATTAATTAATGGTCGACAAAACGAGTGTCTTCCTCATTATTCAATAGGTTATACAATAGATAATAGAATTATATGCTAAAAGCCTAGTTATAGAATACAATTTTCTAAATAGCATCACCGACCGATGGAGCCGTTTTATTTGCCAGTCCGGCCAGCTGTGCCCCTTTTCACAGCTGGTGTCAGTGGCGCTATTAGAGCCTACATCTAAGCAGAAGGTTGTAAGTAGGAAAAAAAGTGTTCTCAAGTAAAATTAAAAATAATCTAAATTTGATATATTAATAAAGAAAATACAATAAATAGGAAAAAAGAAAGTAAGAAGATTGTTAATAAAGTAAAGCAATGTAAGTTAGATAAAGAGTGTTAAGAAGATAGGACAAAGAGAAAAGTAATGGGAAATCACCGACCCTGTGGGGGAAAATTTTTCAGCCTGTCCGGCAAGCTATGCCCCTGCTTATAGCTGGGAATGGTCAACGACTTCCCGAAGGTATCCTGAAAGCAACTATTTTATTAGTGGTAGAGACAGTTCGATAGAGAAAACGTGATGCAAACTATTATAATTTTTACATAGCACGCGAAAAGGATTGTGCATAGCGTAGTCTGTTGTGCGCGTAGATAGAAATAAGGGGCGATAATTTCTAGTTGGTTTAGCCGGAACAGAGAATTGAAGACGCCCTAGTAGAAAAGGAGAATCTATGTCGCCAATAATCAACTTATGTAGAAGGACTACACCGAGAATTGTCCTACGGTTGGTTAAAGACGTAAGGTTGAGAAGAAGCAGTCTGCTGGAGTAGGATGGCAACCGAAGATTAGGGTCCCAATTTAAGCCGCGTAAGGCAAAAAGCAGAAATTGCTTCTGAACAGATTCAATAAGAGCCTGGCTATTGTTATACTTTGGAGACCAGATGCAAGAGCAGTATTCAAGGATAGGGCGGACAAAAGAGATGTACAGAAGTTTTGTTATAAGAGAATCGTTAAATCGTCTTTAGACAATCGATTAATGAATCCAAGTACACAAACAGAGTTAAGAATCATACGGATTAGTGTATGATAGAAAAAGTTGGACATGGTCCGCATACATGAGTACACGGCAAAAAGGCGTAGGTGTCTGAACAGACCTAGAGGGCAATTGCAAAAGTTGAGGCTGCAACCGGCGATTGGTTGGGGACTCGAATTTATATTTGCCAAGCAACTCGAAACTCGAGTCAAAATTATTCGAGAGCTGCTTAGCCACATTATTCAATTTTAAGAATTGATTTCTCACAGAATTATACATTCTGGAGAAATCAATTTGCTTGTCGATGCACTCTGGGCACGACCAACGCAAGCCACCGCAGCCCTTCTTGGCAATTGCAGCGATCTTGTCGCAATCACGCCTAGTGAGACCTGCACATTTAGCATGCATCATCATCATGCAGAATCATCAGCCTGCTTGAACGTGCACGGTTTCTCACAGCACGTCATAATTATTAAATGCGTATGCAATTTGCGAGAGCGCAGAGCAAAACGAAAACGAGGCACAAGATAGAGCACGTAAACACTCGAAAAACAATTATTCGTACTCAAACAAATTGTTTGGAGCGAAAATCAATAGAAAAAAATTTGCGAGAGCACAAGCAGAAAGTATTCAGCGAACACACGCACAAACAAGTGTATGCACAGGGGAGCACCAAAGCAAAAGAATCAAAACAGGCAATAACAACATCACGGAACTGACGCCGCGTTTTATAAATGCAGTAATTAACAGACTTACGCTGCACAACAGATAACACTTTGCACAGTTTATAAAATCTTGGAGCACAAGTAAAACACGTCAATCACTCTCAACTGATAACTCTTTATGACTATTAGTAAGAGCATTTAGTATCCGGACATTTGAAGATTATTAGAAGCCTTTCAAATAATATATTTTCATTTATTGATGATCGCCTTTAATCTTTTATATTTACATTTTTCGCTTTAACTAACTTGTTAAGCGGCTTATCGAGAGCGCCCCTCATGTATGCTAAGCTTTGTTTGAACTATTTACCAACATTGTGTTTATTACCTTTATAGAATTGAATGCCGAAGAAGTGCTGTCCATGTCCAAATGGGTGGAAGTGAATTCCGCACGTAACTATTTTGTCAAGATTTGTATCAATGTGCTGCAAAATGAAGAGGTACAGCAGCTTATGCGATCCAATGTGAGCTACGATCTGATGATATTGGAGCCCTCCTATACAGATGCGCTCTTCGGGCTGGCTGCACATTTCAATGCGAATCTAATCGGTCTGGCCACATGTGGTGCAGATTGGAACATGGACACATTAGTGGGCAATGTAGCATCCTTGACGCTTGAGCCGTGGCTGCCCCATGGCTTCATGCCCGGCGTAACGCTGCTGGAACGTTTCTATAACTGGATACTCATCTCCGAGGAGTGGATGATGCATACATTAATATACTTACCGTCATTGCGAGCGGTGCACGAACATTTCTTTGGTCACCTTAAGCAGAGCTTTGTGGAGATACGTCAGAGCTTCTCGGTGATATTGCTAAACCAGCACTTTAGCCTGTTCCCGGCGCGACCCAATGTGCCTGGCCTGGTGGAGGTGGGAGGCATGCATGTGCCCAAAATGTTGGCCCCGCTATCGCCAGAGCTGGCACAGTTTATTGAGGAGGCACCACACGGTGTCATTGTCATGTCCCTGGGCATGGAATTGCAGAGCAAAGATCTGCCGGCGGTGACTCTAGGACTAATAGTAGACACCTTTGAGGATTTGCCACAGCGCATCATATGGAAATTTGAGGGCGATGCACGACCCAATGTGAGCAGCAGCATCTATCTGGACCAGTGGCTGCCACTTCAAGCCATCCTCGCCCATCCCAATGTGCGCCTGCTAATCAGCCATGGCGGCATACTAAGCATCATTGAGGCAGCTCACTATGGGAAACCCGTGCTGGGCTTGCCACTATTCTTTGATCAGTTTCGAAATGTGGAGTGCATGCAGGCAGAGGGCGTGGCAGAGTTCCTGGACATTAATTCTATGACCAGACAGGAATTTGAGGCAACACTCAGACAGTTGCTGGAACAACCACAATATCACCACAACGCTCTGCAACTCTCGGAACGCATTCAGGATCAACCCTTGCATCCACTGGACACAGCGGTCTACTGGACAGAGTACGTGCTGCGCCATAAGGGTGCGAGCCATATGCGGATCTCCACCTCCAATATGAAATTTATGGACTACTATTGCGTGGACAATCTGTTGATTATCGTTGGACGACTCGGTATTCTTGTTGGCCTTGTGGCTTATGTGCTGTACAAGTCGTTGTGGTTTCTGAAAAGTCGCAGTTGTTCAGAATCAATATTCCAATAGCCAATGGCGCGGCAGTCTACGAAATTGGACAAATACTGCTTTATCTAATCTGAATGGCAATTACTGTTTTGGTCATTGTAAGTGATTATATGATTTTGTACTCCATAAGTGTCCACATATGTATAAAATATATTATATGTGCATATGCCGGTGGTATGTTAACTCGGATGCATTTCCAATGTATCCATTTGATTTACACGGAATGCGCAACCGAGTTCCAACTGCTGCTATGTGAATTGAAATATTATGAATTTAATATGTTCCCTATATAAAAGTCTAATATATAATACGTACAAACAAATAAGACTTTTCATGTTACCTTCTTAAGTTGTTCCCTAAGATAATTTTCGAATAGAAAAACTATGTAGCCTGAAGAAAAACGTGTTGCGTTAATGTATATACAGATATATTTATCTAGACCTAGGCTAGGTTATTGATATAAAAAAATAATAACTTAGGCTAATAGTTTAGCAAGTATGAAAATAAAACAATTATTTTAAGTAGGAATATTCATTAAACTACGTGTAAAGTATCCTTTGCTTTATACGCCAAATGCAAAAATTAAAAATAATAAATGACATTAATGATAATAATAATTATAATACACGGGGCGTTTATTCCGTTTCCAGGCTGCTGTTATTATTATTTTTTCCAGCTGAGTTGCGCCTTACACAGTCACATCAGGCCTAAATAATAATATAATAAACCAGTAAAATAACAAAATAATGATTTCCACAATGATTACTCTGAACAGAATCAATTTCCGAGTCGATATAGCCATGTCTGTCTGTATGTTTGTGTGCTCGCTTTGAAGCTAAGTATAAACAAATATTTTTATTTATTATTCTTTAATTAATTATTAGATCTACACGATCTTCCTTATCAGCAAATGACTGTACTATAGGAAGAATCGGTTGAGTTTAGGTAGCGAGAAATGTTATATTTTGCAAGACATCTTCATCATGGTCAGAAATTTTAAACTTTACAATTGTACACCCAAAACATGTATGGCAAAACCGTAAGTCATAATTCTAAAAGTGTATTTAATCTTCGGTGGGCCGCAGATAGCTGAACTTCTTAAATTTTTTCCCTAACAACAAAACAAGCGCCCCAAGTCAACAATATTTTCATTGTGGCGCAATTTAAAATTTTTTCAGAGAGCAAAAGTTTTATATGAACACAAAAACTGTCGTTTTTACGCTCAAGTTAATGCAGTGGGCAGACCGGTCTATTCTACAGATTACGCTCTATAGCTCACATAATGATTTGTTTAACAAAGAGAGCGCAAAATATAAAGATAAATAGCGAGAGAGTAAGAAAGCGAGGGAGAGCAGCGTTGCATAACAACTGAGAGCTCGTAATCAAATAAAATCGTGGACAAAACGCTCGCCGATGACAACGCCGCTCGTATTTATATTTAAGCTATTCTATAAATAACACAAATAAAACTTAAAAAAAAAAAATAAATTATAAAAAATTTATCAACAAACTGAGAAAAGTATGTTGCGCTTCATCAATTTTGTTGTGCTTTGACTCACGCTTTGACCTTCTAAAACAACAACCGAAATCGTAATCGTAATCACAAAAAATTGGCTATAAATCGACGATAATTAAAATCTGTTTTGTTTGCTGAGTTTAGTAGCGAGCGAACTACAAACCCATTTGGACACAAATGGAGCTGTTCCGTCTTGGATTTTTGATAGCGCTGCTCTATCAGCTGACGGTTGGCGTGCAAAGTGCCAAAATTTTGGCGGTCTTTCCGTTTCCCGGCAAATCGCAGTATATATTCGCTGAGCAATACCTTAAAGAGCTGGCTAAAAGAGATCACAATGTGACGGTGATAAATACCTTTGGCAGCAACCAAACGGAGCCCAACTTTAATGTAATTGGTGCAACCAAAATACACGAATTAATGGCAGGTAAGGGTTTTACTACAATATCAGTAAGTACGTTAAAAATCAGATAAGATTTCGTCTACAAGCTTATAGCAGTGCGGACTACAATCAGCAGGCCAGTCAGTGGACAGTGCTGACCATGACCACGGTATTCCTGAACATGTTAACGTCTAGTGTGTTGGAAGACGAAAAAGTGAAGCAATTGCTCGAAGGCGCCGAAACCTTCGATTTGGTGCTGCTGGAAACTGTGCAGACTGAGGCCTTGTTTGGTCTGGCACAACACTTCAAGGCTATTACCATGGGCATCTCATCCTACGGCACAGATCGCCACATCGATGAGTTAATGGGAAATATTTCGCCGCTGTCCTTCAATCCCATGCTTTTATCCTCGCGCACCGAGCACATGAGCTACGAGCAGCGCCTGTGGAACATTTGGGATGCCAGCCTTGGCTGGCTGCATAAGCGTCTGGTCCATATGCCCAGTCAGCAGCAGCTGTATAAGCAATACTTTCCCCAGGCCAGCCGAACTCTGGAGCAGGTGTTGGACAACTTCTCGCTGATGCTGCTGGGGCAGCACTTTACGCTCAGCTATCCGCGTCCTTATCTGCCCAACATGATTGAAGTGGGTGGACTGCATTTGCAGCACTCAAGAGAGCCCCAACCGCTACCTGTCGAGTTGGCCAAGTTTGTGGCGGATGCCCAGCATGGTGTCATATACTTTTCCATGGGCTCAAACGTCAAGAGTGCCGATTTGCCGGTGGCAACGCGTCAGGTGCTGCTGCAGGCATTTGGCAGCCTCAAGCAGCGCGTCCTGTGGAAGTTTGAGCAGGAGCAGCTGGAGGACCAGCCCAAAAATGTGCTCATTAGCAAATGGTTTCCACAGCCAGATATTCTGGCGCATCCCAATGTGAAACTCTTCATCACACACGGCGGCCTGCTGAGCACCATCGAGAGCATTTACTTTGGCAAGCCGGTGCTGGGTCTGCCTGTTTTCTATGATCAACATTTGAATGTGGAGCGCGCCAAGCAGGCGGGCTTTGGCCTAGCCCTGGATCTGTGGACCATGACTGCAGCCCAGTTGCACGATCAGGTTGTGCAGCTGCTCAGCAACGCCAGCTACACACAGGCAGCGCAGCTAAAGTCAAAACTATTTCGCGATCAGAAAGATACGCCGCTCGAACGCGCCATCTGGTGGACGGAGTATGTACTGCGGCACAACGGCGCTCAGCATCTACGTTCCGCATCGCGTGACCTGAGCCTAGCCCAGCTCCATGGTCTGGACACATGGGGCCTGCTCTGTGGCGTTACATCGCTAATTGGTTTGGTGCTTTTATTTGTTCTCACGTCTCTGTTGAGATTATTACGCTACATTCTATGTAGACGTTGCAAGATCGACGCTAAACAAAAAACACAGTAGGTCTCAATATAAATAATAGATAGTAGGTATTAAAACTGAAAAGATATTGGAGATTACACGATTAATTTGTATTTAAATATTTCTAACAAATAACAATTCCTTAATGATAATTAACTTTAATACTTATTTGGTAAACTTTCTTTATGTGAGATTCCCTTAGATTTTTTATTTATTAACAAACAAAATAAAAATAAACAACCCCATTTAAAAATAGTTTGAAGACACTTTGACGGGATATATATAACATTATTTTTATACCCTGAACCCATTTTTAATGGGTATAAGGGTATATTGTATTTGTGCAAAATCCAAATGTATGTAACAGGCAGAAGGAAGCATCTCCGACCCCATTAAGTATATATATTCTTTATCAGCACCAATAGCCAAGTCGATCTAGCCATGTCCGTCTGTCTGTCCGTCTGGCTGTCCGTCCGTATGTATGAACGCAAGGATCTCAGAACCTATAAGATCTAGAGACTTGAAATTTTAGATGTAGGTGCTCCTAGTGCCTGTGCAAATCGCGTTTGTTTCCAATAATCGATAACTTACTCCGTTTCCAAGAAATCGATAAAAATCGATATCGATATCCTGTTTTTTTTGGCAATTTTGGTAAATAATAAGAGCTTGCGTTACCAAACTTGACATATAGCTTCTAGAATTGAATATATACATATATGCATTTGATGTTGGAAGAAGAGGGTTCAGAGTATCCCCCAGTCGGGAGCTCCCGACTAGAACCTCTTACTTGTTTATAATAAATAACTTTAAAAATAATACAATACATCAACCGCTGTAGCTGCTATTTTAATTGGTCGTAATTTGCAATTCCTTTCAAATATAAAAAAAAAATACTTGAAATGTATAACACATATTTAAGTGTTTCGCTTCTAACATAGCTTTAAAATATGTTTAGAATTCCATACTTTTGAAATAAATTCCTAATTAAAAATCTTTAATAGCCCGTTAGGGCGTATATATATTTAGTTATATAATGTGTATTAATTAATTTTTACTTTTATCGACAGATAGAGTAGTAGTTGACAAATTCACTATCAGTAATATATACAGTGTACTCCTTCGTCTAACAATGACTACGGCAATACAAACGATAATATCTAACGAGTTTTAGAAAAATTTCTGCTGATGATCATGACTGGCAATTTCTCATCTCACACACACGGAGGGTTACTTAGCTACATTGAAACTAGCAGAGGGAAACAGAAACACAAGCTGTTAAACAGAGGCAGAGCTTAATTTAATAATCTCATACTAAAGAGCAGACATACGAGCTGAACAAGGTGAGGCCGAACATGGAGGCGTGTTGTGTGGCTCTCATACAAATGAATGTAATCGCCTCTGTAAAATTTGTTATCGCATGCACGTCCATCAGTCTAATCTAAACCGAGCAATGTTTTCCATTTATCAATGCCTATTTCAGAAATTTAGTTGAATTTTTGAGCTGGGAAGAATCACACGAAATGTTCTCTCTACGGCTCTGCTGCCTCTTACCATTAGTTTTATTGCTGCCAAGTCTCCTTGATGGCGCACGGATACTTGCGATATTTCCCTTTCCGGGTCCATCACAGTACATAAACGTCTTGCCCTATTTGAAAGGCCTCGCATCGCGCGGTCACGAGCTTACATCGGTTAACGCTTTTCCCCAAAAGAAGCCAGTAAAAAACTTCCGTGACATTGTCGTACCTGAAGTATTTCAATCCTACGATGGTGCGTTGGAGTTTGATATGGTTCGTCATGAGCTTTCAATGTCTTAAAGTTTGGTTATTTCAGATATAATTTCCAATATTGAAGCCTACAGAAATTTGTGGCAGGAGAACACTTTTATTAATGATTTTTTTATCAGCATTACAAAGAAAGTGTTCGAAAATGCCGAAGTACAGCGGGAGCTGTTAAAGCCGGGCAAGGCCCAATTTGATTTGGTCATTGTGGAGGCCCTGCGTACCGATGCACTCTACGGTTTTTCAGCGCACTTTAATGCGCCCATCATTGGCCTCTCAACATTCGGCACGGATTGGAATGTCGATGAGTTGGTGGGCAATACTTCACCGATCTCGTATACCCCACTAGTTACGGCGGGCTTGAGCGATCACATGACCTACTGGGAGCGAGTGCGCAACTTGTTTGAGACCTCTATAGCCTGGCTTAATTGGAAACTAATGTATATACCGGTGCAAAAGCAACTTTATGAGCAATACTTTCCACATGTCGCCCAAAAGAAGCCTTTGGC